AATCTGCCCTGATCTCTCTCTCTCTCCCTATCTCTCTCTCGCCTGATCTCTCTCCCTCTGTCCCTCTCCCTCTCTCTATCTCTCTCTCTCTCTCTCCATCCATCACATCCTGTACTCTCACTTTATCTCCGTCCCATGTGTCTAGTTGGCTGCTCTGTCAGCATACTGATGCAGGCTGAAGATTTTCCCATAGACCTGTCCGTCGCTGACGTATTGATGCAGCGCAGCTCCGTGGGAGAGAACGTTCTCAGGAAACCATCACAAAAACACAACAAATCCACGGTGATCGTGATGAAGCCGTACTAAGAGTAAGAAAAACAACTTTTTGTTTTGAAACCAAGACTTGGTTGTTCAGTTCTGACGAAGACTCTCAGATGAAGAGGTGAAACGTCTTCAACAAACCAACACAGTCCCGTCGACGAATTCCCAACTTCTTCAGATAAAATAACTTTTCATTTGTGGTCTTTTTTAGTGACTTTTTTTATTTTGAAAAAAGCTTCACAAGTTGTAAGGACGTCTACTTCCTAAAGAATTTGATATTGATATTTTCAAAATAAAACATCTTTAACACTCATAATCAACCTTAGCAAATGATGTGATATCATTTTTTTTTCTCTTTGGCCTAAAACCTCATGATCTGTGGCCCAGTGCTGGTCCAAGGATAATCAACCTTAGCAAATGATCTGTGGCCCAGTGCTGGTCCAAGACCCCCTGGTTGAGCACCTCTGTTTTAGATGTTTATTTAAAGCAGCTGTCATTTCTTAATATTTCTGGTTAGACCCAGAATTAATTCAAGATTTAGGGGCTGCTCGGTACTCCGTGGAGAGACCACTGCACCAGTACCAGGAGATAATACAGAGACAGTAACCAAAACACTGGCTGCTGCTGGAATCATCTCCGTCCTCGCGTCATAAACCAACAGTCAGCTGTGGAAGTTCTCACTGAGCCACAAAGAGAACGGCAGTAAAAATGATTTCCCTTCACACGTGAGGAGGGATTTTTCTGCCGTCCTCGCTCCACATTAGTCGTTGTCTGTGCAAACAGCTCTAAGACACACCGATCAATAAGAACCCCGGGGGCATGACAAAACCGCATTCTCTCTAATCCTTGGGCCGCGAAAAAAAAAACACTGAAAGCACTAGAGACAGAGACGGAGACAGGAGGACGGACGGAGACAAAGGAAATCCTATCTACAGGCACGGAAACACACAGATCAACCTGGGAAGACGGAGTGAGTGACTTGAGTGACTTGAGTTTGAATCCACCCACCCACCCCCGATGTGTCAGGGGACCTCGAGGGACCAAACACCAGGCGTGGACGGAGTCAGTATGTCATCATCAGCTGATTGCTAACGTCCAATCACTGACTTTTCTTAAAATTCCCCAAGTCGTTTACAGTGGAATCAGAGCTGAACCAGAAATAATCTTGACTTCATCCTCATATATTATTCACGAGACTCGCGCTCCCACTTTACACATACTGTGCGTCTGCATATGTATCTGTTAACATCTGGTCTTTCATGGTTCACGGTCCAGAGTGAGTCATAACTAACAGAACACTGAGACAGAACCGGATCAGACCGGACCGGACCGGACCGGTCCTGGTCTCAGGCTGAGGCAGGAGATGGATGACTATCTAACACCTGATACCAGGCCCAGTATGAAGAGTGACCGTGGGTCAAATCAACACGGTCAACAGTTTTAAATCAGGTTGACTCCTAAAAACACCTGACTCGTCTTCGCTGCCATCATTGGATGTTTTTCTCCACAGGAAGTGGAGCTCATGTGGATCCATCATCATTCCTGGTTTACGCACTGACGTGAAGTCAGTTTCTGGTCAGAACGACAGGGAGGGAGGGAGGGAGGGAGTCGCCCCTTTGGCTGAGTGACATCACAGATGATCAGCAGGGAGCCAATAGAAGCTCAGCGTTTAGGACAATGCTGAGAAACCGGTCGACCCTAAGGAAGGTCAGGACTCTGAGACCTGGTGTAGGACTGAGGTAGAAAGTGGACGGTTTTGATCTGTGACTGCTGTTAGCATCGACAAAACGACTTAGTTTAGGGTTTTAAAAAATGGACAAATCTAATCCAAATAAAAAGTACCATGGACTCCAGTTGATCTAGTACTGTCCAGTACTGTCCAGTACTGTCCAGTACTCTGTCTTTAGTTTGCAGTGTCATTCCTTGTGAGTTTAATTTAAGGTTTGTCTGGAAGCTCGTTGAAAGCTGAGACTGTCTTTTCCGATCATTTGCCGGTTGGTTAATTTTAAATAGTACAGGACAAAATACAGGATTTAAACAACTACAGAACACAGTCTGTTTTTGACTTTTCTTCTTTGAGACAGATTTTCCAACTAAACAGAACAGTTTCCTGTGTTCGTAGCTGCAGGTGAAGGAGGTGAGGGAGTTCTTTTTAAACATTTCTAAGGGAAAAAAAAGTGAAGATTTTTAAATACTTTTTACTTGATGTTTGATTGTCTGAAGGCAAGAGCACTAACCACTCCACCACCGTGCAGCATAAGAAAGAAACTTTGAACACTAATAGATTAAAATACGAAGTGTTAGCGCTGCGGTCTCTCACCTCAAAGACATCAACAACGAGACGTCCATTTACATGGACCACCTGACAGACGTTGTCTCTAACCTGAGCGTTAGCCCCGACGCTAACCTTAATAACAGGAATTTGACTTGAATCATAACTAGATAAATTCTGTCACATGACCAGGTTTTAAGCCCAAAGAATCAAAACACACACACACACACACACACACCCATACTGACCTTCAGTATTCTGCACAGTCAGCTCTGAGTCTCAGTCCTGTCTCTGTTACGACTTAGAAATCAGTGAATAGATGTTGTTTTTCACGACGGAGCTGCTGATGACTCTACGTCCCCAAAACAGTAAAAAAAAACTAAAACTCACCGGTTACGATAAGGTTGAAAGTTTAAATAATTATAACAACAACATGATACTTTATCAACCTAATATCTGCTGGAATTTCATTGGGCAGCGAGTGAAACATGTTCAGCTCCATCTCAGGCTGTGGTTGATGATTTATGAGTCTCCAAAGATGACAAAATTAAAAAAAAATAATAATTTGATTGGTGAAACTAATACACTGGATCCAGACAGTACCTGGAGAAAACCCATTACCACTGGGGATCGAACTGATGACCTTCTTTCTGTAAGGCAAGACCTCCAACCACTCCTCCACTATGTCTACATACTACATGATAGTTTTTGTCACTGATGTTTTTCGTGATGTTCTCGTTGTCACTGTGTGTTTGTTTATTCTGACAGCTCCGTGTCCTGTTGTTGTGATCCGGGCCTTTCTATTGTTAGCCGTGTAGCAGGTGTGGTTGGGCTGACGTAGCCAGAGAGGGAGCAGCATGGACCCGTGCACGGGTCTAGACCTTTTTACAATAATATACTGTTATAGATCAAACTGTACAGAGACGTGACGTGTGCTCGTGTCCGACATCTCATCACAGACTTCACACAAACACCACATGTAACGGATCACAACAAACAACGCGTTACTTTTTTTTGGAGTAACGAGCCATACCCCTGCTGAGCCCACCTCCTGCAGCTGCTCCAGCTCCAGCCTCAGCGCCTCCTGCTCGGCCTCTAGCTCCGCGTACTGCTGCTTCAGCCTCTGGTTCTCCTCCAGGACTACCAGACCGCACTCCGCCGCCCGGATCTTCTCCCGGTTGGCCTCGGCCAGGTCCCGCGTCAGGCGCTCCACCTCGACGCGGCACTCCTCCACCGTGTCTCCGCCGCCGCTGCCGCCGCCGCCGCTGCATCCTGCTCCCCCGGCAGCCATCGCCCCACTCCCTCCCTGTGTTGCCCTCTCCTACCTGCGTCGGATGAGCAGGAGATCCCCACAGGAGGAGGGAGGAAAGCAGGCAGACAGCAAATCCCCCCCCACCGTCTGCCCCCCTTTAAGGGATCACACCGCTGCTTCAAATCTCATAGAGGAAAAAGAAAAGAAAAGAAAAGAAAAAAACAAAGAGCGATAAACGTCGTGGATCATCCACGCAGCGCTGCCTCCTCCTCATCCCCTGTCTACATGTGACGGTCTCTGAATGATGCAGCAGCTCCACATCCTCCCATGTCCCTCCCTCTGCTCTGCTTTTCTGCTTATTCACCGGCATCAGGACGCCATCTCTGCCCGCAGCCGTGGAGCAAGGCACCTTCCCAGCTGCCTGTCATCCTGCAGCAGGCTCCCGGTGCTCACGTCCTCACAGACCACTCCTCACACACAGTAAAACTGAGGGCGTCTGCAGCAGCTCCTACACTCACTGACACACGACGTCTACACGTGTTTAACGTCGTGTGAACTGGTTTTATTTTTGGAATTTTAGAAGAAAAACAAAGAATAGAATTTACATCATCCCTATTACAAACTCTTTATTACTGGAGTACAACATCACAGGTGTAACACAGAACTACCTTTAGTGATTGGGCAACTTGTGTTTATGAAGTCAGTGAATGAATGAACCAATGGTCTGTATCACATTTGTTAAACTCGAGGCCCGCGGGCCCGATACGGCCCGCCTTATCATTTTATTCGGGGCACCAGAGCTGATCTTAGATATAAAAAAATAATAATCTACAGTGGAGAATCTATGTTATTGTTTTCCATATTGCAGAATTCTCAATTGCAGAATTCCAATTTTACTAGATTTATTATTATTATTGATGTCATTATATACTGAATTCCCCTGGTGTGGGATGAATGACGTCACATCTCCTTTTTTTTCTTTTTTTTTAATTTTTTTGTTTGTTTTGGGGTTTTTTGGTTTTTGTTTTTTTTGTTGTTTTGTTTTTTTTAATTCAGTATTTCTGGTCAAAGCGTTGTCAACACTAGGGTGTTCGATAAATGTTTCTTTTTCGACCCACAACTTTGAATTTTCCGCCCCTTGAGTGATGGAGTTTGACGCCCCAACACAAGTGAAGTTAGACCGACAGGCCGTGATTTATTTTGAAAGATGCCACCGCCGGATATGGGCCTCTTGTTGTTGCTGTGTCCGGCGGAACACCGGCTTTATCGTCCGTGAGGAGCTGCGCCTTGCTGCACGTTGCTAGTTAGTTGCAATGTTGTAGCTATTAGCACGACAGCAATTTTATTTTTTCGTCGGGAGGGAGATTTGTCATTTAGTGTGACAGAGCCACGGAGTCTGTTCTCATTCATTTCTCGTCTCAGCCGTCGGAGGAGAAGGGAAGTGCTCCAAAGTCCCGTTAGCTCGCTGCCTTTTCTCGTAGCCTGCTAGCAAAAAGCAGCTGGTTAGCCGCTAGCGTTCCACCGTCTCCTCCGCGAGTGCGAACCTCCTTCTACCCCCGGGGCTGCTGCTGCTGCCGCTGCTACTGCTGGACCATGGCGATGAGACAGACTCCGCTCACCTGCTCCGGTCACACCCGGCCTGTGGTCGACCTGGCCTTCAGTGGAATCACTCCATACGGCTACTTCCTCATCAGCGCCTGCAAAGGTGAGACCAGTGGATATCAAACATGGCAGATGGAGTGTAGTTTGATATATAGTGGTTACACTCATTGATATTGGGCTAGAAATCCGGGCTAATCTGAGGAGATTATTCTGGAATATGTTCAGGTTCTAAAACGTGACTTGTGTGACGTGAGCAGGTGAAGACGAACAAGAAATCTATTATTAGATTTTTGATTTTTTTTTAAAGATTGTTTACAGAAAATTACAGAAAAATAAATAGCAGAACTCCAGAATTTAAAGTGAGACAAAATTAATGAGATTTTATGTCAAAAATTATACTTGGAATATTGAGACAGGAAAAAATAATTTTCTAAAATAGTAGTCATTTTCTGAGAACATCATCAGCTACGTCCAGTTAATATATGTCAATACAACATCAACTCAAAAACATGTTATTTTAATTTCATAAAAGACGACTACAGTGTTGGTTTGTCTTCTGGAACGCCGAGGTCTGTGAATCCATAAAATCTCAGATATTCCCACACTGTCCTCCGTCTTTTCTCAGATGGCAAGCCCATGTTGCGCCAGGGAGACACAGGGGACTGGATCGGAACGTTTCTGGGTCACAAAGGCGCTGTCTGGGGAGCCACTCTGAACTCGGACGCCACCAAAGCAGCCACGGCCGCCGCCGACTTCACAGCGTGAGTGGACGCCACCGGCCCCAACGTGTACTGTCTTCAGGAACCTAAATGTTAATAGATAAATATGACAGGGTTGACTGGTGTATCAGAAAGGTGACCACAAAAAAAAAAAAAAAAACAGTGTGAATAATTAGTCAAATAAAAACTCCAAAATACAGATATAAAAGCTGTGAATTATCCATTCAAAAAAATAATTAATCAACGTTTTTATTTAATCAACTGGAGACCTTTATTTTTTAATTTTTAGATTTTTTTTAATCATAAAGACAGAGGATGACGTCATCGTTCTTTCTTTTAGCTAAATGTAGGCTGGAGCGATGGAAATCATCTGTTTATTTTGATGCTTTTGTTTTTTTTTTGTCTCTAGGGAGTCACAGGGAAACTAAAACTTCTTTAACAAGCGAGGCTTCACCCAGGCAGGGTCAGGTAGCAGCATCATTCACCGACAGGACCACG